ACAGTAGTTAACGTTCAAAATAAACCAAACAAGGTTCAATGTTCTTTATTGTCATTCAGTGGAACAAAATTGTGTACACAGGGTCCCACTTACACCCAAAAATAGCAAAAAAATGAAGTATAAAAAGAAACAGTACACAAGGATCCAAGATATATGCTAAATGAGCTAAGATATACGCTAAACACTAATAATGTAAAATAATAGGATGTAGTAAACAGCAGCCCGAACACGAGTCTGTAGTGAGCAGATGGGCATGAAAACAAACCAACATGTTAACAACAAGACTATTTCTGTCAGTCATTTTAGTTTATGCTTTCACTTTTGTAAATAAATTATTCTGAAAATAGAATAGGAAGTATTTGTCATAAGTTGATCGAAAATTGTAAATAGGAACCCAACCCAATAAAAAATATGTTCCAAACAAATGAGAATTATCAACACAGTATTCATTAACATTTTTAAATCAACAGTATTTTCAGTATTTGTAAAAATATATTTTGTGTACTTTGCTTAACTTTGTGACATTTTGGGATCAATGAAGTTTGAGAACAAAATCCGTCAAATATCATTTCCTAACATCCTACTACTGATTCTTTCAACATTACAGATATTTTAGTTTACAGGATTGCTCACTTTTTAATCAAGTCTAATATAGATTATGTGCCTCTATAAAACTAACCATAAGCAGACTCTTATTTTTACCTTGTTTAATAGATGGAGGTTTTTTTTATTGACCCTTTTAGTAGAATCAAACTTTGTCTTTTTGTGTGGAGACATCCCCTAAGAATGTCAGCGCTTGATGACAAAGTGTGTTTTAACAAGGCCGACCCATGGTTGTACATTAGTGTGAGGTAACCCCCCCCATGTCATCTGCACATGATTATTCAAATTGCTTGTAGGTGGACCGGCTATAAGTGAGCAGCTCCTGGGTTGTTGGTGAGCCCCTGGAGAAAACTCTCCCATACTGGAGCCCCCTGTTTTGCTGACTCCAGATAAGTGGCTTTGTGTCAGAGATATCAGATGACCCCCCCACTTCCAACATCAGACACTTATCTGTAACTCTCATTAGCGTTAGGCGCTCCATAGTTAGAGAATGCATTGATCTTAACAGTTTTTGTGGCTTATGTAATCGGTATTACTCGACCTCAGCATTTTGTGACGGGCAGATGTCTAGTATAGATAAAGTTAGCTGACCTCTGGACTCCAGAGTGCACTTCCCCCACCCCCACATGAAAAGCAGAAACTTGTGGAGGTCACACTGTCCTCAGCTGTTTTAACCAAATATTTTGTCTTAGTATTTTATCTGAGAAATACCAAAGAGCACAATACTGAGAAGTTAAATAAAAAAAATGGGTGTTTTTCTGTTGTACTAAAGTTCAAATGAAAATGAATATAGAAGGATGGTTTTCGTCTTGTCAGACAGAATGATCTGGACGTTTGGAAGCTGCATAACAGCTCTGCCACCAGTACACACTGCTTGTGTTGGTGAAGTGTAGGTTTGGGAGAATCCGTCTCACTAATGACCAGCGGTGACACATTTCAGCCTCCAGAGAGGGCCAGGTGTGGGGCAAAAATAGCAGCTCACTTGGAGCAAACGTCTGGCCCCATTTTCAGCACAAAGGACACCAAGAAGGAAACACAAGGAGCTTTGTAAAATACAGTTACAGCTAAAAATAAACGAGGTGTTCGTCTTGTTCCAGGATGATTTCCCATCACTCTCTGCTCGTGTGTTTTGTCGTTGTCTAGGATGGACGCATAGAGTTTTCTGAGTTCATCCAGGCCCTGTCAGTGACGTCTCGGGGGACTCTGGATGAGAAGCTCAGATGTAAGAAGATGGAAATGTACTCTTAAAAAAAGTTTTTAGGTTTTTTATTCAGGTTTGATTATCATGTGATATATGTGGAAGAGTGCAGGCGTTCTCCAAATAACAGAAAATTAAAGATTGTTACTCAGATACAGCTGTTTTTCACAAGACGGGCTTGTCTTTAAACTCTTAAAACTATAGATTTTTGGGAAAAAGTGGCTTTAATAAAAACATCAGTACTTACCCAAAATCTTCACTCTTATATTTTTAAGTCATAATATCTAAATATTTAAAGTCATGCGAGCCTTCTCTGTGTTGCTGTAAAACTTCTATATTTTAATATTTTCTTTCCTTAGGGGCTTTTAAGCTGTATGATCTGGACAATGACGGCTACATAACCCGTGACGAAATGCTGAACATCGTGGATGCGATATATCAGATGGTGGTACGTTTTTCTCTTCGTCCTGTTTGTCACCCTGAATTGCTTGAATGGCCTCGCTTGTAATCATGATATTTTAGGGGAACACTGTGGAGCTGCCAGAGGAAGAAAACACACCAGAGAAGCGAGTGGACCGTATCTTTGCTATGATGGACAAGGTTAGTGTTCTGATATCAAAGACAGTAATGTTACACAGGATGTATTATTAATCATAAAACTGTAGCTGGTATCAGGAATGCAGCACTAGTTATTAGATTCTCATTCATAGGACTGAGTCTTCCTTTGTTGCCACCCGTGAGGCGTTAAAATAGAAACTGTTAAGTTTGGAGCTGTTGTCTGGAGCAGTATTAGTGTCATTAATTCTGCCTACACATCATTTATAGCCACTAGCCCCTCCACTCCATCAGCACTCAGAATCTGCTCAGCGTTGGTGAAAGATGATAGTGTGCAGGCTGGACTGGTGTGTTTATTAGCTCACCACTGCCAGGATCTGCTCACAGCTCGGACTGTGCAGCACTCTGTGATTTGTACAGGAGAGTGGCTATTGTCCAAGTTCACTGAACTCAAGATCAGTTTGTCAGCCCAAAACAGGGCCTGCAGGAGTCTGAGTGACTCCTTTGCCCCCTGCTGGTATTTCTCAGTGAAACTTCACAGGGCTTCAGTTTCATTTTGTTTCACGTTGCAGAACGCAGACGGGAAGCTGACTCTGCAGGAGTTTCAGGAAGGTTCAAAGGCAGACCCCTCTATTGTTCAAGCGCTGTCGCTCTATGATGGACTTGTGTAGGAATGTAAGGTGAGTGAGGGGCGTGATGGCATGCATGTGCACTGCTCATCTTGGGAATGTTCTTCAGTCCCAGGTCATGCTTCATATTTGTTAATACTGTGTAATTTATATTTCAGCAGAGCAAAGAATAAAAAGAAAATCTTTTGGCTGAAATTAAAGCGTGGAAGCCACTTTGCGCTTTCAGTTTGTTTCTTTGAATTATTCAAATGTGCCACTTGTTTACTGGCAGTATAATAGTCTGGCAGTGCTGGGTGGAGTGAGACAGTCCTCACATCTCACTGCCTAATGTAATGCACTGGCTGCTGCCAATTGTTGCTGACATCCTGCGCCGTGTTCTGTCAACTGTGAAGCGAGCTTGTGAAAACATACTGTATGTATTCATATTAAAGCTCTGTTCAGTTATCTTGCCTGCTATGAACACGGCCGGCATCATGACACTACTGTCCATACCGTAACCCATCTGTTAACTCCTCAGATGGGTCCAGTTCAGCGTCCTCCTGCCCGTTACACGCCAACACAGCACCATCACATCTGTAAAGGGAGGAGACATCGTTTGTCCCGATCACGTAGAAGAGGTCTTCATACATCAGCACCACAAGTGTCAAGCTGTTCATCTACATTTCCAGTAAGGATAGTAAAAAAAAAAAAAACCCATCTCTGACGTTACAGTAAATTTAAACATGCCAGTGCACCTCCCATCATCCATCAGTGCTTCGACAGCTGTGTTGCACCGTGCACTCTTCTGAGTGTTGTGGACAACGTCTCTGCAAGTGACATGGACGATCTGAGGAAGTGAATCCTGCTCTGTGCTTCTTGTCCTCGTGCATGGGGTGTGCGTGAGGCGCTCAGAGGAGCCGTGCTGCTGCTTCACCACCACACCAAGACTTTAGAGCTCAGTCTGGATCCATGTGGGACTGAGTGATGGCGTGAACACACCTTCAAGTTCCAAAGCAGTATATTGTACATTACATACTGTAAATATGGTAATTTATTTTCTGCTTTGCTGCGTTTATGAGAATTTCCTCATAAATCTGGAATGAAGTTTTATTTTTATCGAACGTGCTGAAATGTTTTTCACTGTATTTTTCAATATTATTGTTGGATAGTTTCTTTTGTCACACCCTGACTTGTTTTAACTCTTCAAATCATGGCTTGTTTAAAAAAGGATGTTTAAGTAGCAGCTTTTTATACATTATTTTATTACGTTAGCCATTCTGGGCACCCTGTTGTGTTTTGTTCTCCCTGTTAGCATGAGTGTTGGCCGTCACACATATCCTGAATGACACAACAAAACAACACAGCGAATTCTCTCAGCTTTACATGAGAATGGAGCTTTAGTGTTTCTTTTCAGAGCATCGCGCCCCTCCTTCACAAACACAAAGCCCTGGTCATGGAGCTCCAAACAAGACATCAGCTGTGGCTGTAAAGTTTTTGCGAGCGCTGTTGTTGCAATTGTCTCCTTGATATTTGTCCAGTGTGAGACCAGAGCATGTAATGATGCCTTTATTTCATACTTAGATTATTTATTTCTGTGCACTTTGATGTTTCACTGATAGTTTATGCCTTATGCAAGTTATAATTTACTCGTTTATTAATGTCATTTATCAGTTTAGTACAAGAGCACAGAATAAAATGCATTTAAGTGGCTGATAATTATGTTATCATGTTTTAGTTTCTCATATTTCTTTTTTGAATTACAAAATTTTGAATAATTTGAAGAAGCTTAAGGATTTTCACTCAAATGTTTATTTGTAGAATTTTAAATTGCCCCTGATGAACATCTCACCTTGAGTACATAGTCCAAGGTTGCACAGGTAGTAGTGGAAACGGGAACTGTTTCAGGTCCTTGAATGCACCGTGGTGCATCAAGGTTTAGACTGTTATTCGGTGCAACACAGAGTCTTAACTCAGTCTGGATGAACAGTGAACTGTTTAAAAGTGGGATGTGAGTTTGCAGAGCTTACAGCATTTCCTCAAAGTTTCTGTATTATTTTTATTTTCTTGCCATCGAGCGCAGATGGAAGTGAAAATGGAGATGAACTGTGACTGGAGACTGTTGTGTTCTTTGAAATCCATGATTCTTTTTGTATTTGCAGCATGTTATAAAAAAAAGTGCAGTAAAACACAAGTGTACTTCTAAGTCAACCAGCTTCTTGTCTACAATTTTTCTACTCAACCAGCTTTTAGAAACAAATGATAAGGTCTTGTAAATACGCTCATCTGTTAAGTCTTATAGAAGTTACGTCATTTTATAAACAGCTTTTTGACATGTTTGATGTGCAACATTTCTGCCCATGAGCAACGAGCACGAGGTGGTTCTCAGCCTGAGCTCCTGGGTAAAATTAGACAGGTGTCATGCTGAATATAAACCAGGGTTATTTTTAAAGAGGAGCCTGTCACTAAGACAATATTCCCCGCGCGTCCATGACTCCAGATCCACTTAATGTGCGCAAAGCTGTTTAAAACAGTCGCAGCCAGATTTACAAGGAACATTCAACAGAATGGAGGGAGATGCTGGATCAACCCTCGTAGTCACAGTGTCGAGTTTCACACTCTCACGCGCACAGGAAAAAAAGCAGGTTGGGAACCTTTTAATACCCATCTCCGCCCCCGTTTGAAGCGTCAGAGCAGCCGCCCTCCTGGGGGTCTCCAGCGCGCAGCCAGCTCCTCCAAACTTTTACGCACGGATCCTCTTCAGTTTCTTGCGGGATTTTGCTGCTTCAGCCGAGCCGCGTTGTTCCAAAAGTAACTTTTTCACACACCTGAAGAAGCCACAGACTCGTTTTAAGTGGATTTTAAATTTAAAACTTATTTTTTTTGTTTGGTTTATGTGACTCATTTTATTCCGGCGCACAGATGCAGTAAAAGTAAAGGGGGGGAAATGACCGGTGCCTTTTTGAAGCGCCTTGTCTTGGCGCTCCTGATGAGCGCGCACGGGCTCCTGGCAGACCCCACGGTGCCCCCACGGACCGAGGAGGGGGATGAACCCGCTGACAGCGCCTCCACGCTGGCTTTTGTGTTCGATGTAACCGGCTCCATGTACGACGACCTGAAACAGGTGATCGAGGGAGCCTCGCGGATCCTGGAGAAGACCCTCAGCAGGAGGACCAGACCTATCAAGAACTTTGTCCTGGTTCCCTTCCACGACCCAGGTACTGTCCACCCCGACAAGATAGAGAGGAGCGTGCACCTTTGTGGTTCTGTGAATGAATTTATGTGAAAGTCTTCTAACAAAAGTTATAGACGTTTGGATATTCAGGTCACACTGTTGCTCATAGTTTCTGTTTTTACATCCCCCCCCCCCCCCCCATTAGACATGTTCTGTCACTATCAGTTACTTTTTTTTTCTTGAGAAAAGTCACAGAAAAAGTGACACACATGAAAAGTGTTGCACATGTGGTGCTGCTTTGCAGTTCTCACTGATGTCTAGTTTTCATGGAGCAGTGCAATAACCCCCCCCCCCCCCCCCCCCCCCCCCCACCCACACACACACACACAGACTCCAGAAAAAAGAAGAGAATTTCTCTTCTGGAGTTTGGTAGTTCCAGGTAAACTTCTGTCCAGTTTATAAACGCTTCAGTCAGAAAATAAGAGCGCTCCAGTTCTGTTTGTGCACTGATGAGAAGCACATGTGTAATTTGCCCCAATCACCCCCCCATCCCACCTTCCTTCCAAACTTACCCCACACCACTCCTTCACCCTCCGGAAAACCCTCAGAGCCCCCCAGTTCAGATAGCCTGGAGGGGAGCAGGTAGTGGTGGGGGCCACCACACATGCTGTTTAATGTGCCCTGCACCCTCAGGACATTGTAAACTTCCAGGATTGCAAAGAAGCTCCCGTGGCTGGCAAACAAAGACGTGACAGTGCTGTCAGTGTTTTACAGGCACCAAGGAGGAGGAGGAGGAGGCAGGGACTTGAAAGGCAGCTAAATTAAATCATGAATGAGCATCAGCTCAACATGTCTGCAAGCTCTTCATCATTGGCCTCACACAGACAGGTCACAGGGTGTTCGACAGCTGGGATAACATCACAGAGACATTGAAATCACAAGACTCCACTCCATCTGATGAGGCCTTTTCTGTAACAACTTTAACAATAAGACTGTTTGTTACAATTATGTGTGTTTTTACAAGAACAGTAGATTCATTGCTGATGTTTCAGGCTGCACTGAATGACCATCAGAGAACATGGTGTTCATCAGATGACCAGCTCTCAGCCATCACACTTCACTCTGCTTCGCCTTAAGACCTGAGGAAGTCGCCCACACTTAAAAAACACTGAGCGCCACAGCAGAAAGGCATAACTCTGTCTTCCTCCACGCATTGGCCACATTTCACTGATTTGTTTTAAACAAATCCCCAACACGAACGTTTTGTCTGCTCATTTATCTTTTCTTCTGCTGCGTGCAAATTAGAGCCACATTTTGCACGGAGGCAGCAGGACGTCACTCAGGTTTAGGTTCAGAATTGGGCTGTTTCTTATCAGGGGCTTAGATTTTGTAGACATTTGTTTAGAGGCCCCACTGAGCTGAGAAAAATAAATCTTTGTTGTCACTGGTACATGCGTGGATGCAGTCTGCCGAGAGGAAACAACTACACTTGATTTTTCTTGAATTTTTAAGACAAAGTAAAGCAGTTGTTTGGGTGGAAGGAAAGTTTAGCAGGAAACTATTACTGTATTTTTCGGACTATAAGGCGCATTTAACATCTTTTGATTTTCTCAAAAATCGACAGTGGCTCCCACAGACTCGTGCTCGGGCGTACCGTGAGCCGCGCAGACACAGCGCACATAGTCCACAGATGTTTGAGACTTCATACTTGAGCGTACACCCTGATGGACTGCAGCTCAGCTCTGCAGGCAAGGGGCGTTTACCTTCGGGACAAATTGAGGTCACCGATTGGTCATTTGCTGATACGTCTACTGGATTGATTGACAGGTCGCAAAAATAAAAAAAAATAAAAGGAGAGCTGGCAGCCCAGGAGCAGTGGTGCTGTGTTTATATGTTGTTAATAAAAAGTTATAAAAAAACAAAACAGGGAGCGCTGGCCCTGCAGCCCACACAACAGACTGGTCCATCAAGAAATCTCCAGACCCTCCCGCAGCCACGCTGGACCTGATTTCAATTCTCTCATGAGAAATTCCTTAATTTCTTACAATTTCAGTCATGGCGTCAACAGACGAGGAGGAAGAGATCGCTTCCTCTTGGAAAAAAAACTAAAGAAAATGCCATTAAACCAGATCAGGGATGAAGAAGGGATTTTAATACATTGGTGTTGTGTACAAAACAGTCCATCACCGGGCAGTTTATTGTGCAACATCGAGTACGAGTACACGTACGTGGTCGTAAAAATTGATCTTTGCGCAGACATGCCTTGCAGGCATCCGTTTCAAGTCTAATCCAGTACGCGCGGACCTCCGGGGACTGAAGTACGCCTGATTCTGTGGGAGCTTTTATAATCTGGTGTACCTTATGTATTAATTCTGGTTGTGCTTACTGGCCTCAAACCTTTTTTATGTGGTACACGGTGCCCAAAAATCTGTCAAAATGAACTTGTTTCGCTTAATGCGCCTTATAATCCGGTGCGCCTTACGTATGGAAAATATGGTACCTTAGAGAGGATCTCAACTGATTACTTTTACTATAAGGGAGGGGAGAACTTTTCTGGTGACATGTTTGTGATGTAGACTTTTATCACCTCATAGATATCGGACCTGTATCCATCACCACCGATCCAAAGAAGTTCCAGCAGGATCTTCGAGAACTGTTTGTCCAGGTGGGAAAGAAAACACGCAAACTTACAGTACCTGTAACTAGAACTGCTGTGTGCAGCCTCGGGGATGAACTGGGTGATTCAAATGTTCTAATGAAGTAATGAAGTGGAACAGTTGCACAACTTCAGAAGAAGTCCAGTTTATTTAATGTATTCACTTCTAGCTTATTAGTTTTTATCCCTATCTTCTCCAGAGGCTCATTAATGTTTCTTTAGACCATATTTTAAATATTGACGTGTAACAGGAGCAAACAAGTCCCTCCAATAATGATGGACTCCCATACAAACTCTCAACACAAAGTGCAACACAAACCTAAAAACAAGTTTTTAAAAAAAGCAATAATTAGAGTTGACTCCATTCCACAGTATGTGACAGTGTGTTTGTGTCCTACAGGGTGGGGGCGACTGCCCTGAGATGAGTATAGGAGCTATAAAGACAGCCCTGGAGGTGTCTCTGCCTGGATCCTTCATCTACGTCTTCACTGATGCCAGGGCCAAAGACTACCGGCTGAAACAAGAGGTCCTGCGCCTGGTGCAGCTCCGTCAGTCACAGGTACACCCAAACTGGGATAAAGTTGTGACGATTACTAAATCTCATAAATAACTTCTGTAAAGACTAAATATCAGTGCTTAGCTAATGATTACATATTTTTACAGCATATTAATTAAGGATGAAATATTATCGGCATGGTATTGGTATTGGCCAATATTTGCGATAAAGTTAAATATCGGCCATTCCATCAAAATAACTCACAGATATAAAAGGTGCTAGAGTACATATACATATGTATGTATAAAAGGCACTGTTTTTGTATGGCAACCCCATGACAAGGATGGCTGCAGCGTCAGCACAACATTATGACGTCACGCACGCCTTTGAGTTTAGATTTGTGAAAATTTACGAATTTGCACTGTTCGAGTGTTGTCATTGTGTTAGAGAGATTAAATATCATGAATAAATTTGACATTAAACATAACCCAAGTTGAAGTGTTACATCATTTCCAGACCCCTTTTTGGCATCCGTATTTGGCAGCAGGCCAGATTGACAAAGACCATGCAGAATAATGTAGTATTTTAATTCCACAGTAGAGAAAGCTATGTAGTCTCTGTAAGTAGCTCTAACGTATCGGCCAAAAATCCAATATCGTGCATCCCTAATGTTAATGCTTGGAAAAAGCAAGCAAAACATGTGATTATGATTAGAACTGGGTTATCCAGTAAGGATGTTGATCAGTTCAGTAGATACTACCAGAAGTTTAAGAATACAATGACTATTTAAAGATCTGGATTACAGAGATGTTCCCCAACGGCGAGATAACAAAATAAAAAAAGTTCCCCCAACCCATACTGTTACATGAACCATGACAGTGAGCATTTGTGTCACTTTGAGTCAGTAAAAACATTTACCTGTCTACGTTTTGCCCTCTTTGTCCTAAGGTTGTGTTTGTGCTGACCGGGGACTGCGGGGACCGCTCCCAGCCTGGCTACAGAGCGTACGAGGAGATTGCTGCCACCTCCTCAGGTCAAATCTTTCACCTGGACAAGCAGCAGGTTAACGAGGTGAGAGCAGGAAACTGTGGCCTTCAACGCAATTAGTAACAATCAATCTTTGTTAGGACCGTGGCTTTTTAAGAATGTCTGCATTAAAGCTGTTTTAAAGCTTTATTGCCTAATCTCTAGTCGTATGTCAACGTTCAGCAGCTGCCCAGCTCTTTGAACATAAAGAGCTGATGCCCACAAAAGCTGGTGAAGGATGGAAGAAAAGCACTTTCTGGTTGCTGATTCTTCCAAACCTTATGTAAACAAGAAGGGACAGAAAACAGGAAAGGTGGGGTCTGCTCTTAAAGAACCACTCAAAGGCACTCTAAAGATAAATGAGAGTCCCTTTTTCAACAAAAGACGTTCGTGAGTGTTTAGCAGACCCTGGAGCCGCCATACGCCAACGATACGACTTTTAATTAGGACCTTTTTTTGTTGTTGCATGTTTTATTCGCAGAACTATTTTTAGCAACAAATTCTGAGCAGAGTTACTCACAGCTGTCCATCCTTTGTGTATATTACCTCAGACTGGAAAAGAACAGGAGAAAAACGAGCACAAAGCTTCTTTGACTGCAGATGCTATAATTTATTCAGCGTAATCAAAACGATTTCACCGCTGATATTAAGCCTCCTGTTCGTCCGATACGCTCTGTGATTCTTTTCTATCAGAGGCAGCGTGTAACAGAAGCCCTGTCTCTTGGGCCAAAGACAGCACGGCTCACTTCCCAGTCCGATAGAGACGAAGCCAGTTTCCTTTTGATATCCTGCATGTCCATACAGGAGATGGCTGAGCAGCTCTGAGCACCATTGGCCCACTGAACCTCTGAACTCGCAGGGTTTCATGTGTGTGTGTGTGGCTCTGTTTCCTGTCATGTCATGCGTGCGTGTAGAGAAGTATACATGGGCTGGGGCAGCTCAGTTCATTATCACCCTGTAATCCTGCAGCTGTTTAAAGAAAGTCTGAATGTTGCTTTTGTGATGCAGAATTAGGAGACTTGCCCTCACACTACAACCACAGATGACTTTCTATTGGCTAAAGCATTTCGACATATCCTCAGTGTATTAACAACACATGGATACTCACATATCATGTCTTACATTAACCTGTGTTAAACCTTTCATGGGTGGAATAAGCTTTAGAAACTGATGCAAACTCTTCCACCCCTGAAATCCTCAGAATTCAAACAAATTGAACAATATTTGTCTTTAATAGCAGAATAAAAATGCGCAGCCAAATAAAGTATACAGTGTTTTTTTAATGTTCTCCCAGGGGGACGTGGAGAGACTCTCTAATCCCAGGATATGACCTGTAATTGTTTCCTTCTACCACCACAGATGCTTGGTGGCAACTTCTCACACAACAGCTCATTGTCATCTCAACGTAACACTCGTTTTACATTTGACTGGTTGGAGTGTGCATTAAAACAACATGCACTGTCATACATGGACAGATGTTTGTACTTTTTATAGTGATGCCACTCATAATTATTAAGAACATACAACACTGATTATAAAGGAGGACTTGGATTTTTTTTTAGATTCAGCATTATTCAATTAAATTCAGTTTATTTTTATAGCGCCAAGTCACAACAGAAATCATCTCAGGGCACTGAACAGAAACATTCATAAACATAAAAAGTAAGTTAATAACATTATTTATCTGAGGAGCAGACTGCTTTGAGTTTCACTCCATCACAGAACTCTTATCTTGAGCAAACATGAAGGAAACAGTGGAAAGGAAAAACTTTCTCGTGAGGAAGAAACTTTTAGCAGAACCAGGCTCAGGACAAGCGACCATCTGCTTCAACCAGCTGGGTTTGAGAGGAACAGATACACAATGGCAGGTCCAGGATGGAGGCCATCAGGTTTTCTCTAGGAGGAAAGACAAAAAGACAGAATCACATGTTAAGAAAGAACAATTATAAATACAAACTATTCATTTGTATGTATTTGTAACTGTTCATTTGATGAAATTATGTCAATTTGTTTTCCTGTAGTCTAAGGTTATAGAATTATAGATAAGTATAGATAAGGAATAGTTCAGGAAACCAAACCGACTAATTTATCAAAAAGGAAAGTCTTAAAACTGGACAATGTGTCAGCCTTACAGACAGAAACTGGAAGTTGGTTCCACAAGAGAGGAGCCTGATAAGTGAAAGATCTTCCTCCCATTCCGCTCTTGGAAACTCTAGGAACCAAAAGTAAACCTGCAGTCTAAGAGCAAAGTGCTCTGTTATATTATGAATAATAATATTGTATACATAAATATACATTATATAAATATACAGATAATACATAATATATTATGAAAGCCGTTGTGTTTGCTTTCACACAGGAGGATTACTTTTAAAGAGGTCCACAAAGAAGCTTCAGTTATCCAACTTACAGTTTACAAATATTCATGACTAATGATTTAAAAAGACAACTTTGGGTTTGATTAATCTGTTGTCTGTAAAGCTACAGCAACGAAGAAAAATAGCTGATTCTGGGAAGTTTGGTAAATACTTATTGACAACCCTAGATGCAGCTCTCTGCTCCACACACAGGGCTGTGGTAGCTCGGTGGTCTGTGGTTGTGTCAGGAAAGGCATCTGGTGTAAAAACAGTTGCCAAGTCTTTGTGCGAGTTAGTTTGCTGTGGTGACCTCTGGAGCAGGGAGCAGCTGAAAGAAAAAACATAATTAAATTTTAACAGCCCTTTAACAAATTAATTCCGGCTAATTATATAAAATCAAAACAATACGTTTTTTTTTTATTATTGTTAATAGCAATTAAATAATCATGTACCATTTGCAGACTAAAATCAGCTAAAATGGTTTCTGCTTTTTCTCTACAAAGGAGCACTACTTGTGTACAGCATCGCCCTTCTGCTTTCCTCATTAAGTGTATGAAGTAGTGAATTAAAGGGGGCGTTCGTGGTTCTCAAGCATAAACTAAAATTTAGGTTAAGATCCAACAACAGTGGTGTGCACGAGTTACCAGCACAGATGTATCTTCTTTGGTGGACTGCCTTCCTCCGGTGCAGGCCATTTCTGACAGCGAGTGCTTCTTTGTGTCAAACACCCGCGGAGACGGATCAGAGGTTCCATCTGGTGCGGTCCCCTTGATTTGTAGTGGGACGTTTTCTCAGCAAATGTCTGTGGTTATAGTGTTTAAACCTAGGTAAAGTCTAAACTGACCCCTGCCCACTGAGATGTCTAGATTTAGGTTGTTTAGCCACAACCTGGTGCCATAATTTTCCTTCCTTAGCTTGTGTCCCTGGATGAGTTAGCAGACTTTTGACATTTCTCCAGCTTCTGCTGCTCCCTCTGACCCATCTGTCACACTGCTATGAATAACAGAGGGGAGTCCTTCCTGTTAAAGGCCTGCTCATCTGAGACAGGCAGGATGAGGTTTCACAGGACTTCAGATCTTCGGCTGTTTGAAACAGGGAGTGGCTCAGAGCCCAGCATGCTCCTCCAGAGCCACGGAGGCCTGGACAGTGAGTCGTCCCATCTCTGCTTTTCACTTCCTTTTATCTGAGTTCTGAGAGCAGAGAAATGCCCACTCCTCTTTCCTCTCTTCCATAAAGAATAAACATTATCCTGGGGCAAATGTGGGACTTTTCGTAGCAGTTTCCTGCTCTGCTGGTGACGGCCGCACATGTGGCAGACATTACAGCTGTTTCCAGTTGTAAAACTGCTAAAGGGAACAGCTGCTGTCAGCACACAGTGGGATTGATCCACAAAAAGTGGAGGCCTGATAATTAAATTATAGGCTTTTCTTGTTTCGTTTTGCGTAAACTTCCTAAAACGTGTAGCCGTTGGCCTAAAGGTGCACAGATGTACATGTTATTTCTGCTTCACTGCAGATTCAGGCTCTTCATTAGAGTCAAAACTGAAAGTAGACTGCTGTTAAATGTGTAAGATGAAAGATATTTGGTCAGTCGTGGCCACTAAAACGAGACATTGAAATGTTAATGACTTCTGCTGCTTCTGGTTATATTTCTAAGGAAACAAAAAAGAAAGTGAAATTAATGCCAGAGTAAAGTTTCTACACAGTCAAGCAGCTGTCAAAACCGAACGTCTATATTGTCGTATAAATCTCCCAAGAGCCTCCGAGACTTAATATTCTAAGTAAAGACTGTTTTCCCCATTAAGTCCATTCAGCCTGTCTGTGGTTGTTTCAGCTTGTTGGTTAATCTTTGCTTAAGGTGTTGGAGTGAATAACGAGTGAGCCCTAATGTGACCTCAACTAGCTTCCTAAATTTAACCTGTACCTTGGAAAAAAAATGGGACACCAGCTGCCAGTTTCGTTTCATAATTATCTTTACTCAGAATGATATACATAAATATTCAGTTTAATACTTAAGTTTATTTCTAAAACATCACCAACCGTCCCGCCCCCACAGCCAGCAATCCTTTCATTCTGAAGAACAAGCTGTGTGATTCATGAAAGCTGTGCTGCAGGAGCGGGACGACTGCCTGACAACCTTCCACTGTGAGAGACGCTCTTCAGGGAATAGATGCTTGAGAGTGCAGAAAACTGTATGTTATCAGTTTGACAGCTGAGCTCTTTTGCTTGTTCTTTGTTTAGGTAAAATCTCTCCATGGAATACTTTTGCAATGAAAGAAAAGTCTAAAGACAAAAAGCAGAGAAGGGAAAGCATGGAAAGTTTTTTTTAGGGAAAGGCCAACCTTAAGAAGGGATCTTTCAAAGTTGAGGACAGATCCTCTCAGTTTGCCTCATGCACTTATTAACGTGTTTCCTTTCAATAGTAATGCTGTTTTTCTTCTGCCAGGTTTTAAAGTGGGTAGAAGAGACAGTTCAGGCCATGAAAGTCCACCTGCTGTCTTCCAACCATGACCGTGCCCAGGAAAATAAATGGGAAGTGCCCTTTGACCCCAGCCTGAGAGAGGTCACGGTGTCGCTCAGCGGTCCGGCGCCACAAATCGAGCTGAGCGATCCCCTTGGTTGTCACAGTTTTGCTCTTTCCATAATTTCTTACTCAGTGAAAGTATCGATAAAATACACATGACACTGAATAATTTGTTTATTGGTCTTTCCAAAGGTCGGGAAGTTGGTGTTGAGCAGGGCCTTACAGAGCTCTTGAACATTCCCAACTCTGCTCGTGTCGTCAACCTTAAGTTTCCCAGACCAGGAACTTGGAGACTCAAGGTACTTCCCTTCAGGAGAATCAATAAAACTTTATTTCTGATGACAGCTACATCATTGAACTCTGGTGCTTTGTTTGTAAAGGTAAGCTGCAGCGGGCGTCACACCCTGAGGGTCACGGGTGTCAGCAGTCTGGACTTCAGGGCTGGTTTTTCTACTGTACCTGTCTTGGAGTTTAACCACACCAGAGAGAGACCAATTAAAGGTGCAGACGGGTTTCGGTTAGCTGGCTGAATCTGATTTCACAGAGAATTTGTGCTGGAGATGACTTTAGGCCAATCTATTCTTTTCTTTTTTCCTCAGGACTTCCAGCTCATGTTGTATTAAAATGTACAGGCCTGAAGCCCCCAGGTTTTCTGAGCCACGTGGAGCTTGTGTCAGGTTCAGGTTGCTCCTTACGCACAATTCCTGTACCTCTGCCCTCTGACCTCGGCCTACAAGGGCTGTGGACTCTCCCGGAGTTTCGTTCACCTCCTCAGAGCTTCTTCATCAAGGTATCTGGCAATGATGAGATGGGTTTCCACTTCCAGAGGCTGTCCAGTGTTTCCTACAGCAATATCATTCCAGGCAAGGCAGCAACCACCCTCCCTGTGGACACATCACACCAAAGCCACTCTCCAGGGCTTCTTACACCTCATTAATCTTTTCTGTCAACTTTAACCTTTGTTTCCTCCCTTGTGCAGATCCCCCAGTTGTGAGAATGCCTGATGTGGTGAAAGGCTTTTACATGCAGCCGGTGGTGATTGGCTGCTCCGTACAGAGTGACATTCCCTACAGGCTGAGATTCACCAGAAGCGGGATCACGCTGGGAGAAGAGAAGCTCTTTCAGTGAGTCTTTGCTCTCCTTGCTCTGCTCTCTGGATCATTTGGCTTGCCTTCATTATGGCTTCCGTCGGGGGGAAGGGAAGTCTGAGATTGTCATCATCGTATGTTCCCATACAATGGCAGAATTAGTTATCTGCATTTAACCCATGACACATGAGATACACCCAGGTGGAGCAGTGGGCAGCTATGTAAGCACCCGGTGAGCAATTAGGGATTAGGTGTCTTGCTCAAACACACCATGACATGTGGGAGTGACTGGGAGTCTAACCGCGACATTCTGGTCCCAAGTCGGCTGCCCTACCTCTACACCAGGGGTTCTCAAACTTTTTGGGTTCAGGAACCCCCTCATAACCCTCATGTTTATTAAATAATTGTCTTCTATTTGTCGCTTTAATGCATTGGAACTATTTGTGTAACATAAATATGTAAGACCTGTTCTTTAATAGTGTTAATATTATTTTTATACTTTTTTCATTCATTCAACCTTTATTTAAACAGATACATCACATTGAGCCTCGAAGACTCATTTACAAGTGAGACCTGTTTGGACAGACAAAAACAGTGGTTAACTGGACACATGTACACATGGGGGAGTGGTGGCGCAGAGGTTAGAGAGGTGGGCTTGTGATCCGAA